GAATAAACAATATATATTAACCAACGTGTCTTTAAATAGAAATACACTTAAAACAAGGCTCCGTACTTATTGCTTGATTAAAATATTAGGCTTACAGGAGTCTAATCCTGGGTTTCCACTAGGAACAAAGGTTCAGCATTCACTAATGCAATGTTTGTGGTGATTTCATAGAACACAACTGCTGCAAAGAATGAGAATTAATTATATTGGCATACATTTACGGAATGGTGAAGGGGTCATGGTTGATTTTTTCCTGTTTCTGTACAGTAGAACCTCTGTAACAGACTGGTCAGCCTACAGAGGTGGTCAGTAGGAAGAACTAGGCCTGCTGTCCTGATGTGTACAGGTGTTAACCACGTCTCCCTTAAGGAGGTGGTCAACTGTGGAGGTTCTACTGTATTTCCAGATTTATAATCATGAGCGTGCGCTGATTTTATTACAAGGAGTAAAGGTTTTCAAAGTAGATGCATTATTGGAGACAGTTGATATGAGTAAAAAGCAAGCATTTGCAGTCAGATCAGGATTTGAGTTACTGCCCTGCCATTGACTACCTACGTAACTTGGGGAAAATTGTTTAATTCTTCATAGCCTGTTTCTCTGTTTGTAAAACAGGAATAATGCCAGTGTCTTGGGGAATTATCCTGAGTATTATTCCTGAGAATACATTTTAGAAATTACCCAGCTCAATATCTGGCATAAATGAGTACTCAATAAAACTGAATCAGTCAGGGCAGTGCCTGTGGCTCAAGGAGTAGGGCACTGGCCCCATATACAGGAGGTGGTGGGTTCAAACCCAGCCTGCTCAAAAACTGAATCAATCAGTATTATTAACTTTCTCCTAGGATTAAATCACCGAAAACCAACCCTCAGAGGCTCACAGGTCTTTGCAAAATCATGATTTTTTTATCCCATTTACAAGCACAATTCTTACAGATTCAATGCCTCAGCTTCTAGCCACTTGTGTTCATTCTATCAACTATCTGAGTGTTTAGGATGTGCATGAATTAGTCCAGTGGTGAACAAAACAGGCAAAAAAAAAAAAAAAAGCAAGGTTCCTTGCTGTCTTAAGTTGTGTAATTTTGGCTTCTGGAGGAGAACTATAATAATTTTGACTACACTTGTACACTCCTTTGAATACTGAGATGTTATGTCAGAACGATTAATTAACAATAAACTACCACCTATTCTAGAGAGTGCTTTCTTTATGAACCAAGTCTCATCAGCTACTTGCTCCAGTGCCCCCAGTCGTCAGTCCTCAGACTGTTTTCACCTGTGTGGCTTCAGAGCACCTGCTTCAACCTGTTCCACAGGCTCCCTTCTTTTGAGGGTTGATGATAATCTCTCTCTCTCCTACAACAGCCACACATTTACACTAGGTGAGTCTGAAATGGTTGCCAGGCCCGAATTTAAAATTTCTGAAATGGAAGCTATATTTCAAAAATTCCTTTTTGAAATTATCTTAATCCACATCTCAGATAAGTTTAAAGGGCTGGTTTAACTTGGACACAATTAATGATAGAATTTTGCTTTCAAAACTAAACTGCATGATGGAAGGTCCACCTGACCACCCAGAAGGGCAGGGTGGCCGTGTGTTTCTGTGTCTCCCCACCTTCCAGTCGTGACCCATCCACCCGTGCCAGCCTGTCCCTCAGTGCAGGACACATGAAGTGCCATGCCCTGTGTGCCCATTGTTGTCTAAGAGGCAGATAAATCCGTCCACAGACGGTCAGTGTCCCCTGGTGGGTGTCCCCGGTCAATGCCCCCTGGTCAGCGCCCTCTGCCCCTAACAGAGCAGTGTGCTGCCCTCCCCTGTGGGCTGCAGCCCTTTGCATCCTTCTATTTTCTCTCTTCTCGGTTTGTGTGTCATGTTCTCTGTCTCCGCCTCGCATTCCCAAGTCCTCTCTCTACAGCTTCTCTTCTTCAGCTTCAGCTCTCAACCATGTTGGAGAGACTGTCTGCCCCTCGTAAGTCATTTTAGTTTGCCCCCTAAAATCCCCTCCCCATCCCAAGGGCCTCTTCTCCAGCACACCCTGGATCCTGGGAACAGGACACAGTAGGTAGCTTTCCTTAGCTGCAGAACATCCTGGGCCGCATGCACAGCAGGGATCAAAGCCAGCCCTTCAAAACTCCTGCACCCCACCCAGAGGGGCAGAAGCATCTGGAGCATCAGCTCTGCAGGCTCCTTGAGGTCACTGCCCACGGTCAATGGTCTCAGCTCACCTTCCCAACTCTGCCCACAGTTGGTGATCTCAGCTCACCTTCCCGGCTCTGCCTGAGGTGAGTGATCTCAGCTCACCTTCCTGGCTCTGCCTGAGGTGAGTGGTCTCAGCTCACCTTCCTTCCCAGCTCAGCCCACAGATGGTGGTCTCGGCTCACCTTCCTTCCCAGCTCAGCCCATGGTCAGTAATCTCAGCTCACCTTCCCCAGCTCTGCCCAAGGTCAGTGATCTCAGCTCCTGTTCCTGACTCCCCTCATCCCGCTCGGCAAACACACCTACTTTCTACCAAACTGTAACAACTCAGGAGAAAAAACTCCTTCAACTTGTCCTCCTTCCTCTCCTTCATAGCTAACAGACAATCAATGTCAGTGACACTTGTTCATTTACCGTTCCTTAAACCACCGCTGTACGCCGGGGGCCATGCTCAGTGAGGACACGCTTGCTGTTCTCAGAGCACTTTTGCCTAATGGAGCAGGACAGACCACACGTGGTGTGACGGTGTGATGGCAGAGGTGGCACAGCGTCTCTGAGAGTGGTTGGGAAGGCACCACTTCTCAGACAGATGAGGCCCTTGCTGAGTATTTTGCCAGAGAGGAGGTCCAGGGATGTAGAGAATGGGTCTGGGGGAGCAGGGCCTCCTAGACAGATGCAAATCAGGGCGGTGAGAAATAGCAGATGTGTTCTGAGGGGGAGGGTGATGGAAGAAGGGAGGGTTGCTGAACCCCGCATTGGCAGCAGGGAGCTCCTAGAGATGGGGCTGGAATAAAGAAGCTCACAGAGATGTGTCTGCGTCTGTCCCAGAGCTCAGACTTGATCCTGTAAAGATGAACTTCACTAAAGTGTAACCTTGTGATAGGCTGAATAACAGGCCCCCAAATCAGCCCCATCCTAACGCCCTAAACCTGTCATTATGTTACATTACATGATAAAAGAGGGCTTTGCAGATGTGATTAAAGTAAGGATCTGGGGATGGGAGATGATCCTGGATTATCTGGGTAGACTCTACATAATGACAAGCGTCCTTACAAGAGGAGGCAGGAGGGTCAGAATCAAAGGGATGAACCATGCAGATGAAGGCAGAGGTCGGAGCGGAGAGAAGCTACTTGTGCTTGTGGCTGCAGAGACCCAGGCCAAGGAGCACAGGCAGCCTTCAGAGGCCTTAGAAACTGGAAAAGGCAAAGGAACAGATTCTCCCCCAGAGAAGGAACCAGCCCTTGTAGACATCTGCCCTCTCGGCCTGTAAGATACACTTGTAGCCAGTGGTAATTCTGTCACAGCAGCAGTTGGAGACGCACCCCCTCACTGAGAGCAGGAGGTTTGTTTAGTTGGTTGCCCCAGTGCCCAGGCGGTCTCTGCCACATGAAAGGTGCTCAGTGGGCGTTTGTGGGGCAGGTAAGCCTGGGAGACTTACAAAGAGGCAACTCGGGGGAGGCTGAGGCCTCAGTGCATGGAGGATGCTGTACATCCCCACCACGTTGGTGTGATGTGCCTGCCCAACAGCACTCAAGGTCACGTGCCAGAGCGCACCTGCAGACACAGAACAAATGGGACCACTCAAGGTCACGTGCCAGGGCGCACCTGCAGACACAGAACAAATGGGACCACTCAAGGTCACG